TACCAGCCGATGGCGTGAAGGGCAAGACATGGGGTCCCAGCACGGCGCATCAGAAGGAGCGAGGCCACATCATCCCGCAACAGCACGACAACCAAAAACGATGGAGTAAGTCGGCGCCCAATCTAGAGAAGCCATTACGGCCCCTCCCTTATACCGCCACCATGACGGGGTTGAATCAGATCACAGCGTATGGTCCTGAGATTGGTAAGTGTGTGGTAGAAGGACAGAGAGCATGTCAAGAAGAAAAAAAACAGTCCTGCTTGCCACCTGTTTTAGAAGTCCGGAAAGGAAAAAAGTAGATAGTTCTTTATAAAGAGATTGATAAAGCTAAGAGAAAATGAATACTGAAGATGAAGAACAAGTAGAAAAATCTAAAGAAATTAGTTTTTCTTTTCTCTTTTGAATGTTTCTCCTCATCTGTGTAGACACACCGAGTCCTAGTAAGGGATCTCATTAGACCTTTGGTAATTTATTATCTCTTATTCTGTTTGAAGCTGGCAATGGATATTACTACATGCCAGGTAATGTATACTTTACTACTATCTATTACTGTCTAGTAGTATTGTAGTTTTTGTGTATTTAGTATGGGCACATTGATTTATTCATAATTTGATTGATCATCAAGTGTGTTTGTGCCCATGATGTGAGTATATTCAGCTTTTGTATGTGTGTATGCTGTCTGGGAGGGAGAAGAGAGGGAGGAGAGAAAGTGGACATCCACCAAAAGATCACCATACTGGAGGCTTGCCCAAATGCATATGAGTGTGAATTGATGAGAATTTGTCAGGCCCATGTAGAGAATCATGTAAATATACTTGACACTGTATGCTGCTTGATATATTTTCTATTATGATACAAATGGTCTCAGAGATTATTTGATGATATTATTTGATGATTAGATGTTCTCAGCAGTACCTAGATAGGTCTAAGTAGAAGCTGTGCACAATTGAACTACACTGTAGAAAAAAAAAACTTGAAATCTGCCTATTCTGATTTGAAGAGAGAGATGAGGCTAGCTTCCAAACTCATTTTTAACAGGTAGATAATGAAATATATAGGTCTTCATATGATACAGGAGAAGCAGTGGATGAACTTGGATATATGGTTAGTCTTTTATGAAACAGACAACTTCCATTGTCTCTATTCAATTCTTCAAAACTGCTCAGAATATTTATGAAGTAAAGTTTGCAGTTGAGCACAGAGGAAAGAGTTGTGAGGAAAGTTATTTTTCATGCTGTTCATTTGAGTATAACTTGCATCATGAATTTTATGAGAAAAAGTTTTCTCTTTGTTTTAAAGGAAATCTAACCAATCAGCGGCAGAAATCTTTCCGTCGTTGTTGTGTTAATTCTCCGACACAAAGACCAGTCACTCATGCATTTATTATGTTTTATGGGCAGCCTCTGCAGTGACCAAAAAGAGTAAGAAACTATTTACTCCGCATTTGTGTCATTTATGGGTCTTGTTTTCATGTATTTAGAACTCAGATTTTTTTTTCATAAAAGATGTCACAGATTTCTCTGTCTGCTTAAATACGTGCAGGACTTGAGAACTGTCACTTAGTAGCCAGCTCTTGCAATGGACTAGATTCCCAAGTGCTGACTGGATCATACCAACACTGGTTGGTATTTGTGGCGGGCAACTTAATGTCCAGAAATTTGAGCTTCTTCATCGTTTATAAATAGCTGTAGGCTACCTACTCTCTAGGCTTTGTGACGTCATGCCACACTATGAGGGACTCCCCAGACTCAAGACTCAATCTTGAGATAGCATGATGGTATAGTAGTCATATTCCTGCATGAGTAATTGTCTTCATCTTCTGTAACTGATAGAAGGAAGCTATTTTTTAAAAACTTTAAAAACTTACATGATGCATATGGAAAGGAATGATTAATGCTGAGAATAAAGAACGGAAGAAGTGGTTCTGAAATGTAAAGCTTTGAGCGTTTTCTTTATTTATTTGTGACATTTTAAACCCAATTTTGGAAGTATTATCTTCAAAATAAAGTAGAAATTTGTGTTAAAATTTGTATGGTGTTGAAAGGAAACTGTTCTTGAGAAGTGTGTGGTGAAAAGTTTAGATGAGATTCTGTCTCTGTAAATTTATTTTATTCCAAGACCCAAAAGTTCATTACCTATAGACAAAGGAAATTTTATGCTGTAGAGTTAGTTCATTTATGTACTTGTTCTCATACATGAACATTTGTGCTTTTACGTGTTCGTAAACACATCCATTTTACTCGACTGTAAATGTGATTAGAAATGTATGATTGTGTTCTTAACCCATTCACTGTATTTATTAACACTGCACATCTGTTTAGAATTTTTGAAGAAGAAATTCATGACATGATAGAAAACTGTTTGGCATCATAATATGCACAAGATGAATATCAGGCAGTTTGCCTGGATGTAAAAGACTAGCACCATTTCTTTGAAAAACAAGATATTTAAGACTCTAATGACTTGAAAATCAGTGAATGGATTAATGTGGTTAATATTTGGTGTTGGTATAATTGAGACCAGGGCATTGGTTATGAGAGATGTAATTGCATATTTATGTACAGTCTGGGACAGTTGTGTACAGTCAAAAACGAAACTTCATAAAACATTCAAGCATTGTCTTGAACAGTTAAGAGGGTTCAGAAGCTTCTCATGCTTTGTAACTTGTGTCCCAGACTGTTCATTTGCAAATGTAAACACTGTTGTGGTGTTTCCATAGAACACCTATATATTATGTACTTTCAGAGGCAACCCATGGGCAGTGGCTGGGGTACTTGGACACCAATGGTATTGAATAAACCACACTTGTGTATTTTCTGCCGCTGCAAATGATCATTATTACTTACTGCCTGTTCCATTTAGTAGTGATTTTACAAACATTTGCTTTTTCTCCTCCAATAAATCTATATCGTTTTAGATATGTATTGTATGTTTGTGTGTGTTTTTTATTTTAAGAGAGATTTTCATGTTGTGTTTTAAATGTAATAATAGTTAGTTCTTTCTTAAAACGGAGGATGCTTAACGGTGGATGACAAACCATTTTATGCCATAACATAATGTGTGGTTTTCATAGGAAGCTCTGGTGTCGAGTTAGCATGGTTTTGCCGCCATGGAATAGATCTTATTTCTTAGATATAGTGAAACAGAATATTTTACAAGAAGGTGGCCTTTTTTTATTTACATTTTTTTTTAATTATTTTTATTTATTTTTTACTCTTATGATAATTAATTACATCTCGTGCAAGAATTAAAGAGAGAAAAAATTTTAGTTAGAATTTTAGTGTGGATGTGATGTCACTGATTCCAAACCCTGTATTGTCATGCTTGTGAATGATAAAACAATTCCTGTTCCATTGATAGATTTTTATTTTTTTGAGTAGGAAAATTCCAGAAATAAAATTTTAAAGAGGTATTTTTCTTCTCTTGGCAGTATTGTTTTAATTATTTTATGCCTGTGGTGATGGATAAACAGGACTTGAAATTGGGACTATTCTTATAAAGGAGCCTATGATATCGAGGAAATAATTGGTGGAAGGAGAGTATTTTTTATCCCTGTAAATACATTTTAACTAGGGCATATTTTGTCACTTATTTGTCTCTAATATTGTGTGTCATTTTTAACATCTCACAAGGGTTAAAAATGAAAATAAAATTAATCAAATAGTTTCTCTTTTTTTCTTTATTTACCAAGAGAGTTTGAGAATGAGAGGGTTAGTTTCAGAATGAGATTCAGAGACAGAATGAAAGAGAGGGAAAGACAGATTGGAAGAGTAAAAGATGGTTAATCAGATAAAGAATGAAAGCTGCAGGATGGAGGGAGAATTAGTAATATCAGAGATTGGGGGTGAGGCAAAAGTGTGAGAGTGAGAATGGGAGTAAGACTGGGGTTGGTAGTAGTAGTGGCTGTGGGAGTGAAAGTGAGTGTAAGAGTGAGAAGAGAGATGCAAGTAAGAGGAGAGTGTGCAAGAGAGAGAGAGAGCGAGAGTGAGAATGACAGAGAGAGTTTGTGTGAGTGAGTGAGTGAGGGTGAGAAAAAAGAGAAAAGAGAAAGGAAGAGAGAAAGAGAAAGAGAGTCAATGAGAGAGAAAGAAAGAGAAAGAGAAAGAGAGGAATGGAGAGAGATATTGGAAAAGGGAGAAGGAAAGGAGATGGAGAGGAAGAGGAGTACAAAGTGAAAGAGGTAGAGGAGGGGAGGTAGAGAGGAAATAGAGAGAGAGAGAGAGAGAGAGAGAGAGAGAGAGAGAGAGAGAGTGAGAGTGAGTGCAGTGAGTGAGTGAGTGAGAGTGAGTGAGTGAGTGAGTGAGTGAGTGAGTGAGTGAGTGAGTGAGTGAGTGAGTGAGTGAGTGAGTGAGTGAGTGAGTGAGTGAGTGAGTGAGTGAGTGAGTGAGTGAGTGAGTGAGTGAGTGAGTGAGTGAGTGAGTGAGTGAGTGAGTGAGTGAGTGAATGAGTGAATGAGAGAGTGAGAGAGTGAGAGAGCGAGAGCGAGAGCGAGAGCGAGAGCAAGAGCAAGAGCAAGAGAGATATGATTTTCTCTAGCAGTATTTCCATTTCACCATACAGTCTGAGTTGTCAATGTATATACCTCATGATTGTAAAAAAAAAAAAAAAGGGACGTATAAACATTCCCCAAATGAGATTGCATGTATCTTTGAATTTAAAAAAAAAGGAAAGAAAGAAAAAAAGCTATATAGAGAATTTACAAACCTGACTCTAGCTGTTGCATCCCCAGATTACAGCGGTGAAGACGGAGGATGGACAGCCAAACCTGTGCCCTTGCGACCCCTACCAGTCCCTACCCTTTATAACGGTACAACTCCGGAGACCAAGGGACAGCGACCCAAATATTCACCTCTCGAGCTGATTGTCTATAATATTGCTGCGATGTTGGCAAGTGTGGCAGCCGGATATGATGTGCGGTTGTCGAATGTCACTGCGGTTCATCCAAAGCTGTTACCAGTGAAGTGAGTTTTTTCGACAGATTAATTTTATGGTGTTTTTTT